TAATCCTAAAACTAACTTAGGAAACAAACCATTTAAATCACTAAGCAAATACACAATTGCAAAGTAAATATTTAAAGCCTTTTAAAAAAAAAATTTATAGGTTTTACCTATAGCACGCGGAAGCAAGCTAGACGAAAGTGAAATAAAAAGATGCTGTCATGACAGCCCTCCTCCTGGGCCAACTTCCAGAAAGCACCGTTTCGTCATTCGACCTCCGATCGAAGTAATTTTAAAGCTCATACATCACATTCAAAGGGTACTATAAGTATACCAAATTTCAAAAAGATCCAACGGTCGGATTTAAAATTAAACATGTTAAAAATTTGATTATTTTTACTGTCATGACAGCTAAAAAAGCTGTCATGACAGCACTTCCGGACCAACTTTTGGAGTGCACCATTTCATCATCTGACCTCTGATTGGAGTGATTCCAAAGCCCACATGTCACTTTTAAAGAATACTATTAGCATACTAAATTTTGAAAAGATCCAATGGACGGATTGAATTTTGTGCAGGTTACAAAATCAACACTGTAGTTGTCATGACAGCATTCTGTCATGACAGCACCTCCAGACCAAATTCCGAAGTGCGTCGTTTCTTCGTCCGATATCCGATCGACGTGATTCTAAAGCCCACACGAAGCTTATAAAAGATTTTACTTGTAACCCAAATTTTAGAGAAATCCAACGGTAGGATTAAGATTTGGACACCCGGATATAAAAGTGCAGCTTTTTGGTAAAAACCATTTTCAAAATTGTCCAAATCTCATCCTAATGGTCACAAACCTGTGGGAACACTTTGGACACATCAAATAAGACTAAAAACACCTGATAGAACATTCAAATGATGGAAAAAACCCATATATCAAAATTTGATCACCCGGGTGCCATTTCCCAAAATGGACCCTAAACCCCCAAAATGCACAAATCATACAAGAGTGGTCAGAAATCAATCCAAATACCATGTATTTATATAAATACATATGCTAAACATTTTCACTTGGCTTAGAGCTCCTTGTGGGGCCCACGCACCCACTCTTTCTATCCAAGCTGTATGTTTGCCCATAGCACACCATTTGCAATGCAATCACTTTGCATTTGCTTATAAAATCACATATATATCAAAATAAAGATCTGCTTGTAATAGAAACTAGGTCTACTAAGTAAATCCATCAAACCACACACCATAACCAAGTTTCCTAGCCACAAGTCTACAAACAGACAAAAATTCATACACAAGCACACAATCCACACATATTCACACATACACACACATAATCATATCCTACTAGCATCCTAATCTTAAATACATTACAATATATTTTCTCAAAAGAAAGGGGTTGTAGTTCTTTACAAATCACAAGCAAACCCCTAACTTTGCTCCTTTCCCCGTCCACCACTGGATCCTTCGCCTGAACCTAAAATATTAAAAAGAAAGGGGTGAGACAACCACAGTCTCAGTAACAGTAAAATCTACATTGATTATTACAAAGTAAGCCATAATCAAATAAACGAATAATAAATTCAACATAGTATATAATTTAGCCATTTAAAATGCATGAATGCATGACCTAGGCCGGTATGGCCTTTCATGACCAACAGAATGCCCCCTGGCACTCTTTAACTCGCAAGTAAACCTTATACCTACTTGTACCTCCACAGGCACAAAACATAATCTAAGGCATGATCTAATCCACCGAACCTCCTATGCCCCTTCGACGTGAATCCTAAGCAGTTAAAGCTAACTCTCTTCCAGAGCCAGCCCAACTTACTTTCCATGTGAGGGCTACCTTGGCCTAGGCACTCAACCTCACACTTCATATGTTGGATTCCCTCCCCCACTGAGAGGTGTCAAACACTCAATACACTAACCACTTTAGTGTACTGAGCCCACAATACGTAAGACAACACTGAGTACTGACAGTGTGCCATAGAATATCAAAAATCCACACCTTCTCATTGGTGAACTCCCACCGAGATCATGCCTTTTACTCTTGTCTACCTTTCCTGAGTATTGACCATTCAACACTCTAAAGTAGTATAATATTTATAAATCTCATTTCCATAAAAACATTGTTATTAAACAATTAGAAAACATATTTGCACTATAATCAAAGTAGTACCCCATAACCCCTTATAAAGCACATTTAATCTTTTAAAACATGTAATGCATGATAACTAGTAATATTTATTCAAAAATAGCTAAAACAAAGTAATAAAAAATATAAATTCTCCTGTTACCTCAACCCTTTGGTACCAAAAGGGTTCCCCTTATACAAAATAGGGCTCGGCTTGTTCCTTACTTCTCAATAAGTTCCACCAACAATTTTCTATGACATATAAGTGATCCACATCACTTATCATGACAAATAGCATTAATGAAGACTATAACTCATACCACACAACTTAGGTCAATGAGTCATAATCCACCCTAATGGTCCATATATTAAACCAACCATTCACATAGTATCACTTAACCACCAAAACCATTTATTAGCCATCACTAGGCTAATTTTTAATTTATATAATTTTTTAATTAATTAAAAACCTTTACTTAGTGCCACTAACTTTCACCATTAGCCCTTATAATGAAAACCAAATCTTAATTTAAATCTTATTGGGCTCAAATAGCAAAATTATAACTAAATCAATAGGCTTAAACCATTGAGGAGCAAAAACTCAATTTCTCAAGGTTTATTTTGTGCCCAAAACACCTCGTTTCATCCAATTATTCACTCAAAATATTAGATCACTATATAGAAACTCAAAACATGCTCCCTAGGATCCCAAGAAACAAAAGCTTACAAGAATAAAGCCTTTGGGATCAAAATCCAAAAATCTCCTCTTCCAAAAATTGAAGAAAATCAAGAGAAAGAGAAGATGATTGAAGTAGGGAGTTTACCTATTGTGTAGCCGAGCTCGCAACGGTCGCAAAGACTCCTAGATCCGAGCCTAACTCCCTCTCTTTCTCCTTTCTTCTTCCTCTCTCTCTCTCTCTCTCTGCATTTTGTTCTTTCCTTTTTTTTTCTGCGTTTTTGCATCTCTTTTCCCTTATAAAAGCTGATCCAAAAGTTTGGAGAAAATTACATGAAATGACCCAACATTTTTTATTATTGCACAAAAGCTCGGGTCAACTTTGGTAATTTTTTTCATAGTTAAAAAAATAAAATAAAACTAAACTTTTGCTTAGAAAAATTTAAACTCTGGACCTCTATCAAATTATTCTAAATTTTAATTTAATTATAAATATTTTATTTTATTTTATTTTTATAAATTCGAGTCTTAAAATTTCGGGATGTTACAATTTGAATGATCTTTCATATGTTAGAAAAGAACGTTATAATGTTGTGAGTAAAATTTAAAGGGAAAGCTCATCAAAAAACCAATCTATTAGGTGGGAGAATTTTTTAAATTTATAAACTTTTCTTAATCGGTGAAGCTCTCGATATGAAACTTATAATAATATCACCCCATTCAAAAGTCAATGTTTTTATAACTCATCTGAAAAAATTAACCTAATAGGTGGGAGAATTCTTTGAACTCAAACCCCCCCTCAACTTGTGAAGCTTTTCAGTGTGAGATTTATGACAATATCACCTTGTTCAAGAGTCGATATCTTTGATAACTTTGTCTCGTAAAATTTCATCAAGTCTCTTGTTGGTCAAAACTTTTTGTAAATAGTTTTTTTTGTAATACTAATCGCTTAATAAAAGTATCAATATCATGAATATAAGTCTAAAAAACTAATCAATTAAGTAAGAAAGTTGCTCCAATTTATAAATATTATTTGATGTTGTAGTGAGGGAGGTAGCCAAACCAAGGCCTAGAAGGGCTATTGGCGAGCGAGCGAGAGCATATATTGATGCTGAGTCCCTGATGTACCTTTCATGTTTTCTAAACTCCTATATACCCTGTCTGTTTTCTATTACAAGAGTTTTTTGTTTTTTGTTTTTTCAGTCTTGTGTTTTAATATGTAAGACATTTTACAAATCTTTGAGGATGATTAATTTTATTTTTTTTACTTAAAATATTCTTTTGAGAATGTTTCAAAATTACTTGTCCAAAAAAAGTAATAATGAGAATCAAATAGTTAACGATTAATATTAAAGAAGGACGAAGTTAAAAAAAGAAAAATACGAACTCCTAATCAGGGGTAATAATCAAACCCTTCCAATTCTATATACACTCCAGACAAAACACATTCTCCAAAACCCAAACATGCTCATTGACAGTCAACATCGCAAAAAGTAAAAAAAAAAAAAAAAAATCAACGCATTGCTGCATGCTGGGGGCTTCAATATGGCCCAGCTCATTCAACTTAATTAAGTGGCTCTACGAAATCATATTGATAATCCATTCATTCCAGTTGCCTAGATTTCTCACAATTTTAACTCATGAATATATATATATATATATATATCTTCTATGCAATATACTATACATATATAAATTTTGTTGAAATTATCATAAGAAAATTTAGGCATTTAAATGTGTATACTTTTTTTTTCGCACCAATTCAAATGTATATACTTAAAATGCTTTTTCTAATCAAATCAGTAATATTTTTATATTTTTCATTTTTTTCCTTCAGCACATGGAAGAAGGAACAATTCAAAATTCCAAAAATTATTTAACTTATTTTTCTACCATTTAAATAATTTCATTTGTGGAGAAATATTATAAAAACATAGTTCCACAAAATCACAATTTTTTAAAATTTAAATCCGTAGCATTTCTGTGCTTGTTATGACTTGTAAATTCTATATTACATATTGATTTAAATGTCTTCTCATATTACAAAAGAAAAATTCAAATTTAATGTTATCGTTTTGATAATTAAAAAAAACAAGCTTATTTAAGAAAACTTGAAAGTGGTTAATTTTTTCTGGGTAAAGCAAAAAAATTTGATGAGCTGGCCCGAGAACGTGTTTAGATTCAGGGTTTTAGAAGCATGTCTTACCGAAAGAGCACTTACCAGAATATTTACGTTATCCACTGAAAAAACCATCACGCTAGAGACAAATCCGAAATCAAGCGGGTGTGAAGGAAGAATTCTAGAGGGATAAATAAAGAAAGAATTGCATAGCACGCCAATGGCATATGCATATCCGTGAGTGGCTGCGATGGCTTTGTACGCAAACGCAACGAGCTGGTTCGAAAGAAGAGGAGTCCCAAATCCAACTCGTTATGCTGCTGCTTCTGGGCTATTTTCTAGCATCAGAGAAGTTGCAATCCAGCAAGCAAACACAAAACCGAGCAGCAAGATAATGAAGCACGACCTGCCCTCCCTCTCTATTTTCCCTGCTCTTCCCCTTTAGTTCCTCCATCCTTCATCATCTCTTCCCTTTTCCTCATCCCCTTTGCTTTCTTCTCACTATGGCAAAGATAGGCGTCTCTGATTACGACTCGACCCTGTTTCCCCATGCAAAGGCTTTGGATTTGAAACAAAAGTTGCGGGGGCTCGTCAATATTATCCTGGACGCCGAGGATTTCCCGCTGGCCAGACTAGACGAAGCTATCACGACTCTTTCTGCTCTCAAGGATTTGAAATGTAAATCTACCGGCTCCTTCCCTCAGAAATTCGATGATTTGTCTATTCCCCCCGAATTTCGATGCCCCATATCTCAAGAGCTAATGAGTGATCCTGTTATCCTGGCCACCGGACAGGTTATTTTTAAATCTCCCTGTTTCTTATCATTTTCCCATCCTAATCCTGTGGATTACCCACCTCTTCGGTGCGTTCGTGCGAGTTAAATGTACAAGACTCTCAAGAATCAGAGGGTTACTAGTTCATGTCTTTTCGGAAATCTGCGTTTTTGTATAATTTCTTATGAATTTGGTCTCTGCTGGCAATCACGCGGTGACTTTTAATTTTCTGAGTCCTGTGCTCACTTCTTGCCTGACGAAGTGAATGGACATGGAATCTCTGTATAAATTGTTTTCGCTGATGCGATTGCTTTTTTCACGTGATTATCGATTGAACATTTATATCAATACTCATCTTTGGCAAAATGCTTGTGTTTTCTTTTGCCGATAATTCTACTATTGTGCGTTTTCATATGGCTTTTACAGAACTGAAGACAACAGAGCTGTTCAAACTGCAGGCTTTAATCTTTGATTGGGTGGTCCAAACCGTTTCGCTCTTTCGAAAATTTCTCTTTTGATGGATCAAGGGGTTAATATAAGGGAATATAAATATATTTTTTGTTGAGCTCTTGTAAGTCCTGCATGTTTGAGATAGAGATTCAGTTTCATGTGATGTGATTTCTTCTGGTGAAGGAAATACTGGCAGCAAAAGATCGTTAACATTATTATTGTTAGTAGGAAGTTGATGCTGCTATCAGCACTAGCTTCTTTTAGTGATGTTCCATCCGTGCTTCTAAAAGTTTTTCACTTGTGTGCTTTGTAGGAGTGGAAAATGGAAGGAATAGAAGAAGAGAGCAGTATGGACATAGTTACTCATTATAGTGTTCCTTAATTCATGTTTTTATGTTGCAGACTTATGATCGGCCATTTATCCAAAGATGGTTAAATGAAGGCCACAGGACATGCCCTCAAACACAGCAAGTCCTTTCTCACTCCATCCTTACTCCAAATCATCTGGTCCGTGACATGATTTCACATTGGTGCGAAGAGAACGGAGTTGAATTGCCTAAGCTTGTCCAGGACATTGATGAAGTAATAACTGGTGCAGACAGAAGCCATTTAAATTCATTGCTCAAGAAATTGTCGATGTCTATTTCTGATCAGAAAGCAGCTGCAAAAGAGCTCCGGCTATTAACAAAGCGAATGCCCTCATTTCGAATCCTTTTTAACGAGTCCAGCGATGTGATATTACAGTTGCTCAGTCCATTGTCCCCCGGTACGTCTTATATCCCTCCTGACCTTCACGAGGACTTGATCACTACTGTTCTAAATCTCTCCATTCATGATGATAATAAGAAAATGTTTGCTGAGAGTCCTATGGTTATCCCTCTGCTGATTGAGTCCTTAAAATTTGGAACCATCCAAACGAGAAGTAATGCTGCGGCAGCTATTTTCACATTATCAGCACTTGATTCAAACAAGAGCATCATTGGAAACTCTGGGGCCATCAAACATTTAATTGAGCTTTTAGAGGAGGGACATCCACTGGCCTTGAAGGATGCTGCCTCTGCGATATTCAGCCTATGTTTGGTGCATGAAAATAAAGGAAGGACTGTTCGCGAAGGAGCTGTCCCAGTTATCCTGAACAAGATCGTGAACCGTGTTCTAGTTGATGAGTTGTTGGCTATACTGGCGCTCCTGTCTAGCCATCCAAAGGCTGTTGAAGAAATGAGCGATCTTGGTGTTGTCCCCTTGTTGCTCAGTATTATACGGGAGAGCACCTCCGAAAGCTGCAAGGAAAATTGTGTTGCAATCCTATACACAATCTGTCTTACTGATAGAACAAAATGGAAGGAAATAAGAGAAGAAGAAAAGGCCAAGGGCACACTTTCCGAACTCGCACAATGTGGGACTTCAAGGGCCAAAAGGAAGGCTAATGGGATTCTTCAGAGGCTAAATAGATCTCCCACCTTAACACACACGGCTTAGTTTGAAGTAAGACCTTCGAAATTCCAGATCACCTCTTTGTAAATAAATGTCCCATGTTCTTCTGTACAGGTCTTCTGACGTGGCTGTAAGTGACGAGTTGAAGTTTTTATGTAGAGAACATTACCTGCATTTAACATGCTATATTTTTAAGCAACGAAGCATTGGCATTTAAATGGAAAAAGAAAAATCCCTTTGCTCCTCTTTGCCATAGAATGCAAACCAAAGGTCCTATTCCTGGGATGTCTCATCTGTTCGCACCGGGCTGCCCGTGATGGTTGTGTTGGCATTCGAATTAATTTTAAATTTGTTTGGGTGTGAGGTAGCAGACAGAGCAATGATAATTGTTGGGATAGCAATTTGGTGGTGGTGCTATTATTTGCGACTTTGTGGCGTTGTTGATGTGATGGAAGAGAGGATAGGAGATGGACGGTTGGGCCTTTCTTTTGTTTTGTTTGGAAGCCAACCTTTATTCATAGTGTCGGCACACCATTTCTGCTTTCGTTTGGTCCGGTTCTTCCATTACGAGACCGACACAAGCGAGTGGATGGCCCGTAGCTAGGAGGTCACATACTCCGCACCGCTTATTTGATATTGGAATTATGATAAATGAAAGCGTCTTTTTTGTGTGTTTCTCTGTGTTTGTACACGTAGGTGGTGGTTCTACACCCGCACGAGAATATTCAGAATCTCGCCGATGCATCAACCCACCTCTTCTTCTATCAGTTCAAGCATCACTTCCAAGGCTGGTTTGTTTTGGTCATATGAAAATAAGAGAGTGGCACGCGCTTACTGAATGGCGGTAACAACTGTTTATTAATGTATTATTAATAGATGGATGAAGGGGGAGGAAGCCCGAGTACTGTGGGGAGGAGGCAGTCCAGATTGAAGCAAGCCCCAAGTTTCTTGATATGATGTTTTCACTTGAGATGTAGCATTATAGCTAACAAACCACACTCTGTTATCCTTGAATAATCTGATTTCTTTTTTAAATATTGTGCAATATAAAAGAGTTTAAAATTGGAGGATCAAAGCTTAAATTACCATTATATTTTAATGACATAAAGTTATTAAAAAAGAGTAGTTGCTAATGAATTATTCTTTATATATATTTAAAACGAAGAAAAATGAATCCAGGTCTGTGAAGGCAAAGTAAATTGTACTAACAAGCGTTGCTTATAATCAAAAGAATTACGACTGCTTTAATACAAGGTTATGGGGTTTGAATTTGTGTAAATACATTAAAAAAAAATTGAGAAAGCTATTTCAGTTCGAGAGTCGACCCCGCTTGAGTATTGTATGTGACGTGTTACGGAGCAGTAGATTCTAGAAGCAAAGAAGGATTATGGTTTTTTAAAGTAAAACATACTAAAAAGGACAAAAAAAAAAGAAAAGAGAGGAAGAATATGGGAGTTGAAAGGGAATAAGGGGAAGGATCGGGAGAATGACGACCAAGACGAAGCAGGAGTGAGGACAACCACTCGTGGCCGGGCCGTCAGTGTCACCATGAGCTTTGCAGCCCACAAGAAATAACGGGCCTCAAGCCTTCCCCTTTTCATCTACCACTTACAACACGTGCTTCTACTACTTAATTAACATAGCCAATTTTTGAAGCATTAAAAATGAGATTAGATTTTGAATCAATGGAGACATCTATTTCTGATTTTGTAGCAGGATTAAGTTTAAATCATTCATAGTTTAAAAACATATTTCTAATTATATGCTACCTATGTTAGATAACTTGGAGTCAAATGACAAACCCACTAGATCTAGAATAACAACTAAAAACTTAACATACCTAATCAATAGAGACAGATGGTGAAGGGATTCTTCTAACTAAGCAGTAAGGTGCAGTGATTACAACTAATGAATAGCCTTTACTAGCCAATAAACTCTCAAAAAGCATAATGGTTATCTCAATTAACCGCACGTAGCCCAATCTAATAATCCATATTTATAACCCACCATTAGGTCATCTAATCTAATTAATTAGACTGAGATAGAATCAGAATCTAAATGTAATCAACTAATTATCTTCGGGCCACAATTAGAATATTTTATTATCTAGATAATATCCTATTAATTAATGACATCCAAAACGTTAGACTCGTATCAAATAAAATATAATTGATATAACAACAACAACAACAACAACAAAATATCTAATATTCTCTCACTTAATCAAAGTATCACATATCAGGTGACTCAACAAAGTTTACTGAGGTTATACAACCAAAATCATGGCGACAAGTCCTCATTGAGCGAGTATTACCTTCTATGTATGATAGGTAGTACCCCTTACTTTAATGGTCAAATTTAATGAATAAAATTTTCATTCAATTCCTACTTTAATGTCCATCATTCTCTCAACACCAAGATATACATACAATTAAATATAGAAGATAAACCACAAAATTAAAATAAATCCCATTGCCACATGTGCGTTGACTAAACAAGTGAAGGCTTAATTCCCATTTAAGGTACATGTGAAATGAATTCCTTCAATTGCATCCCTTTAGTTAAAGGATCATCTAGCATTGCCTTAGTATTGATGTGCTTAACCATAAGTTGGCCATTCTTAATCCTTTCTTTTAAGAATAGGAACTTTAATTTGACGTGCTTGCTTTAACTTCCACTCCTTTATTATCGGCTGCGGCCACTGTTGCTATGTTATCACAATACATTTTAATTGGCTTTGAGACTAAATCTATAATCCTTAGCCCAACAATGAAATTTCTCAACTAAATTACCTGTGAGCTTGCCTCAAAACATGAAACATACTCAGCCTCAAAGGTGAAAGAAGTTATTAGTGTTTGTTTATACTTCTCCATGATATGGATCCCTTAACTAATAGGAAGATGTAGTTAAATGTGGATTTTTTTGTATCCTTATATCCTCTCATAGTAGAATCCAAGTACCCAATCACTTAAGACTTTCTATCCTTCTATATGTAAGCATATATTCCTTGGTACCTTATAGGCACCTTATAACCTTCTTTCTAGTTGTCCAATGTGTTGACCTCAAGTTAGTTTGGTATCTTCCCTGAATACCTATGTCAAAAGCAATGTCAAGTCTTATGCAAATTTAAGCATACATTAAGCTTCCTATTGCTAAGGCATATAGGATCTTTTCCACCTCCTTTTTCTTTATCTCATCCTTAGGTCATTAATTGAGATTAAATTTATTTTCCTTTTCAGTAGGAGCTACTTTAGTCTTTAGATGATCAGTTTCTCATTCTGAATCATTCAAAAACCTTGTTGATATAGGCTTCTTAAGATAGACCTAAAACATCTTGAGTTCTATCTCTTAATATCTTTATGCCAATGACATATGATGCCTCATCTATGTCCTTCATTTCAAACTCTTGAACAAAAATCATTCCACATTTCATAAAAGTCTCAAATCATTAGTTACAAGCAATATCTCATTCACATATAAAATCAAGAATATGATCTTACTCTCATATGGTATATACATTTATCCATGATGTAATCACTTCATATAACTTTAAGTACTACTAACAAGAAGCTTGTTTTAAACCATGAATTGATTTCTTTAACTTGCAAACTAAATCATCTTTTCCTTTTGAGACAAATCCCTTGAGCTGTTTCATATAGACTTCTTACTTGAGGTCACTATTAAGAAAGGCAATCTTCACATCCATCTAGTATAACTCTAAATTGAAGTGAGAAACCAATGCCATGATAACACACAATGAGTTTTTCATTGATATAGGAGAAAAAGTTTCTTTATAGTTAACTCTTACTCGAGTGAACCTTTTTTGAAAACCAACCTAGCCTTGTAAGGATCAATGTTATATCGTGAGTACCTTTTGGTTTTAACAACCCATTTATAGCCAATGGCCTTTGACCTACCAGGTAACTTCACAAGTTCCTAAACAAAGTTGCTCACCATAAAGTTCATTTCATCAGTCATAGTATCATATCGTGATTTAGAGTTTACACTTTTCATAGTTTAAGTAAATGTTAATAGATCATTTTCAATGCTCATGCCATTATTAGCTTCAATAAGATACATTAGGCGAACATCTAGTAATGTTAGTCTTCTTCTTTCTCTCTTTAATTTACTTAACCCAACTTCTTGAGTTAGGTTAAGTCACTTGTTAAGAACATTTTCCATTACATCTTGTTGCGGTTTTGTATGTGTGATAGGTTTGTTAATATATATTTCTTTCTAATGTCCAGCATCACCAATTTGAATTTTAGGAACTACATCATGATCTATGACAACTCTAACTTGATAAGAGTCATTAATCATTGAAGTCCCTTCACCATTAATGCTAGTGATTTTTCTCTCTGATCTTCATTTAAGTGATCATTCCTACTAATCACATCATTCTCAAACAAATTTAACATTCCTAGATTCTAAGAATTTTGTTAAGGGTGGAGGACAATAAAATTTATATCCTTTAGATCTCTCAGCATAACCAACAAAATATGTTGTCATTATCCTAGGATCCAACTTCTTTTCTTATGGGTTATACACTCTTGTCTCCTCAAGATAACCCCTTACCCTTAAGTGATTTAAACTTAGTTTCCATTGTTTTAAGATTTCAAAGGGTGTTTTTGACAATAAAATTTTGTTAAGGGTAGAGGACAATATAATTTATATCCTTTAGACCTCTCAACATAACCAACAAAATATGTTGTCATTATCCTAGGATCCAACTTCTTGTCTTATGGGTTATACACTCTTGTCTCTTTAAGATAACCCCTATCCTTAAGTGATTTAAACTTGGTTTCCATTCTTTCAATATTTCAAAGGGTGTTTTTGACACTGCCTTAGTTGGAAGCATGTTCAAAATGTATGTTGCTGTCTTGAGTGTTTCCCTTTATAATAAAATTAGAAGTTTGGAACCACTCATTATGTTCCTAACCATTTCAACTAAGGTCCTATTTCTTCTTTCAGTTACACCATTCATATCAAGCAAGCTAGGAATGTTATATTGAGCAACTATGCCATGCTCCAGAAGAAATTTTGCAAATGGAACCAACACTTGTCCTTCACTTGTGTATCTTCTATAATATTTACCCCCTATATCTAAACTCATGATCTTAACTAGCTTCCTAATTTATTTTTCTACTTTTACTTTATATTTCTTAAAGGCACTAATGGCTTACTTTTATTATAAACCAAATAGACATACCTATATCATGAGTGGTCATTTATAAAGGTTATGAAATTTTATTGAGCATGTGTAGTCAAGTTAGGCAACAAATATCACTGTGAATAATCTTAAGTAATTAAAAACTTCTCTTAGCTCCTTTATGTGACTTATTAGTTTACTTTTACTTAGTGTAGTCCACACAAGAACCTAGTTCTAAATGGTCTAAAGATCAAAGATTCCATCTTTAGTCAACCTCTTAATTCTCTCAATGGAGATGTGTCCCAATCTCATATGCCACAAGCTAATAGAGTATTCTCATTAATGACACTCCTTTTAATACCATGCATTGTAACAAAAGATTGAGGCAAAGTAAAAATAATTTTAAATAAGCGATCAACCATAACAATGTGTGCAATATGAACAAAATCTTTATTGAAGCTCTTAAAATCTTTAGAAAGGTTCAGGCTATATCTTAAAGGAGTTAACTTCAACATAGAAATTAAGTCCCCTTAAAAGTAGGAACATAAAAGACATCAAAAAAATCTAAAACATTTTTTTTAAAAAAACAATTCGAAACATCCTTACTGTTTTCACACAATTCTAAATCCCACTGTCTAAATAGATTCTTTCCTTATTAGGATGTGGAGGACTGCTGATTAGAAATCCCTACATCGTATTTGAAGTGTGGATCATATAATGGATATCAATCCACCAAGTATCACTACTAACACTAGTTAAATGAGATTCAAAAATAACACAACACATATCCATACCTTTCTTTTCCATCTAAGCTAAGCTCTTGAGACACTCATTCTTCATGTGTCCCTTCTTCTTACAGAAGAAGCACTTAGCATCCTTTTTGTCC